AAAATTAATGCAAGCTACTGATGTTATGTCAAAAAAGCTATCAGTTATCCTCAATGTTAACGCAACAGACCTGAAAAATGATGTTACTGGGGAGCCCAATGTTGAAAATCAGAAGAAAGCTGAAGATCTAGATAAATTAATACTTTCAATGCAAGAAAAACTGAAAACAGCAAATAGAAGAGAAAAGATTCAGATTTTAACATTGGTTCCAGATTCATGGTCTTTAAGGAAAGCAGCTGAAGTATTTAATATATCAAAATCAACCATAACTAAAGCAAGAAAACTTAAATTTGAAAAAGAAATATTAACACTTCCAGAAAAAACTAACATTGTTAGAATTGAATCAGATATCATTAATAAGGTGGAAAGCTTCTATTATAATGATCAGTTTAGTAGGCAGTTGCCAGGTAATAAAGATTTTGTAAGTGTATCCAAAAATAAACATGTATCAAAGCGATTACTTCTTTGCAATTTAAAGGAATTATTTATTGAATTCAAACTAGAGCACCCTCAATCCAAAATAGGATTTTCTAAATTTGCTCAGTTAAAGCCAAAATGGTGTATGGTCAAAATGCTGGTCAAAAAGGAACCCATGCTGTTGTATATGTGCAAAACACCAAACCTAAAGCTTATGCTTAGCGCAGTTAAACTGGAGAAGAATTACCATGAACTTATTGAGAAGATTGCTTGTAGCAGAGAGTCAAGGGAATGCATGGTCCATAGATGTATTCAATGCCCTGGAATTCAAAATATTATAAATTATATGACTGCAAATCTATTGCAAAATAAAGGATCATTTGAAGAGAATGACAAAGTGGATGAAGATAAAACAATTGAATACAAACAATGGAGTACAACAGATAGAGCAGAGCTTCTAAGTAACACATCTCCAATAAGTTAATTCATTGAAAGTCTTAGTGGAAAACTTGATAGCATAACATCTCACTCTTATATTGCTAAAGCACTAAGTAAATATTTAAAAACAATAAAGTCATCTATACCCATAAATGAAATTATTATTTTAGTTGACTTTGAAGAAAACTTTAAATTTGTCATACAAGACAAAATCCAGAGTTACCACTGGAACTAACAGCAATGCACACTACATCCTGTAGTTATTTATAACAAAAATGATGAGGGTTCTACTAAAAGTCAACCAACGTCTTTATGTTTTATATCTGATGACTTAACACACGATGTTGGATTCATTTATTGTATAGTAAAAAGAACTGTCCAATTTGTATAAGAAATGTTTCCCAATACCATAAAAATCCACTATTTCTTTGATGGTTGTGCTGGTCAGTACAATAATTGCAAACATTTTTTATATTTATGCCATCATGTTGAAGATTTTGGGATGCAATGTGATTTTGACCTAATATATTACATCTATTATGAATTTTTCATTTTAACTTTTGTTAATGTTTTTTTTTTCTTATAATGGAAGTTTTCAAAATGAGAAATTTCTTAATAAGTAACATTCAAATGACCTTTTTCATTATAACTTATTTAATTATTTTTAAAAATCCTCAAAAACCCACCTCTCAATTTTGTACCAAAACACTCTTTAATATATCTAATTTAATAAAAAAAAAAAAAAAAAAATTTAATTTAATGCTACCATGGTTACCATTCCTCGTCTATTCCTCGTCCTAAAAACTATACTAAGGCTCATTTTCAGCTTAATTACATGTTTAGTTAAACAGTAACTTGTAAAACAAAAACTATAGTAAAATCAAAATGGCCGCTGAACAAAAAAACTGCTAAAAATAGCTGATTTTAAAGTAACGATATCTCCAAAACCCCTTTGATATTAGTGGTAAAATTTTGCAAGTTAGTCTATGTTATATAGGTGACCATTTTTACAAAGTATGAAGGAAATCTGAGATGGTGGGTTACAAACCTTAAAAATTTATCCCACTTTCTCATGGAATACCTCATTTGTTAACAAAGTGAATTAATTGGTGAAGGGTTGTTAAAGCTGGTTTCTATTAATATGCAATATACTGCATGCAACATTTGGGGATGTTCAGTATGCTAATTTGTTTTCAGAACATAGCTAATTGAAGTTTTTCCCATTCAACTATCATATTGTGGTTCAAAAATATTTTTTTCTTAATTTTATTATTTGCCCTGAAGGTCCTTCAAAGCCTCTAAACATTTGACAGGTCCCTAATATTATTGAAAAAAAAATTACTTAAAAATATGTCAACTTGGTACTCAAAAGAAACAAAATCATTTAAAAATTTCAAAAACAAAAAGTATCTTTTATAAAAATGACAATATTAGGTGTTTTTGAATAAAAACTATGGTTTTTAAACAGTAATATAATAAAAAAGGTAATATTCACAACATTTTTAATAATAAGTTTTTTTAAGTTGTTTTTTATAAAAAATGAATCTAATTTTTAAAATTTTTATAAAATTTTGCTTCTTTTGAATACCAAGTTGACATATTTTTAAATAATTTTTTTTTTAATAATATTAGGGACCTGTCAAATGTTTAGTGGCTTTGATAGACCTTTAGGGCAAATAATAAAATTTAGTAAAAAATATTTTTGAACCACAATATGATAGTTGAATGGGAAAAACTTCAATTAGCTATGTTCTGAAAACAAATTAGCATAATGAACAGCCCTAATGCAACATGCAATTTAATTACATATTACTAAATAAAAATTTAAACAACAATAAATATATATTCAAATATATTTTAAGTAGTTGAATTAATAATATAAAATTATTAATTTTAAATCATTAAATTATGGATAAAAAAATAATTTAATCCAATGTTATAAAAACAATGATAAAAACCAGGCAGTATTAAAAAAAAAATTGTTTTTAAATCTTTTCCCGTTTAAACTTTTCGCTTTAATGACCACTAGCAATTAGCATATCATAAACAACCACTAGCAAGTAGCATATCATAAACAATAAAACTATTTTAAACGCTTTCTCAAAATTTAAACAACTTTATGTAATTTAAGTATATGTATTTTCCAAATAACATCCTTATTACTTGTGAAACCTTGTTTTTTAAAACTCTTTTTTTATTAAAATATAAAAAAAAAAATTTAACCGGTCAACCATAACAGGCAAGAATTTATTTTGGGTGGTCAAAACAGCAATTTTAGTCATTCTCAGCAGTCATTGACCATTGACCAGCTGTTATTTTCCATACTGCTTTTGCATATTAGCTCTTTTGTAACAGGATGAAAAAAAATTAATAATTTGACTATAAAAAAACAAAATAGTTGAATGTAAAGTTTTTTAAGTAACTTGAATTAAATTTATAAAAAGAATTTTCTTTTTGTTAACATAATTTGGAAATTTTAGCAGTAAAAACAAAAATTGTAAAAAAGAGTTTTGAATTTTTAAAAAAATTTAAATTAAATTCAATAAAATAAATTTTAAATTTATATTTTTATTTAAAAAAAAAAAAAAAAGATTTAAAATTGCAGTGAAAATGTTATTTACAACAATTACTGTTTAATGTTTTCTGCATAAATTGTTTAAGACAAAGACTTTTAAATAGTCTAATCAAAAAAAGTTTTGGCATAACATAAATAGTTTAATGTGTACATAATACAAAAAATTGTAAAAAAATATTTATGTATTAACTATTTTATTTAAAATTAATATAAAACATTCATTTTGCTGTTTTTATTTTTATTATCTCATTTAGAATTTAAGTAAGGGTTTGTTACTACAATAAAGTAGCCTCCTCGACTGCAATGGCCATCTTGGTTTTGGGGAGGTGAACAACATTAAAAAAAAAAATTATTATGTAATTATTTTCTGTAAAATTTAAGTTATATAGAATTTAATTTAATTGTTTTATGTAGAATTTAACATTCGTTTTGCCTGGGTTTTTTTTTTTTTTAATTTCATTTAGAATTTAAATAAAAGTTTGTCTTTCCATTTTTATTACTTTTAATTTGTTTAATATTTATGTTTTTTAATTTTTGTTTTTTTGCCATTTTTATTTTTTTGCCATTTTAATTTTAATTATTTTATCTACAATTTAAATAATAGTTCATTTTTTTCATTATTTATCTAGTATTTATTGAAAGTATTCTTTTCGCTGTTTTGTTTTAATTTAAATAGCAAAAAAAGATCAATGCTTTAAGTTGCGCATGCCAATCTAAAATTACTATTCAGCCAGTGCTTTTTCATCCACTGGCATTAAATTTCAAATTGAGAAGACTGATATATATCAACCCGAAGAATTAGCAAAAATGAAATCAGCAGTATTTTGCCAACCTTATTCTGTTAGAGGTCATCATCAGGTGGACAAAAATAATTTGACACAAAGGTTTTACCATAAAACATAGGTATGAGGTCAGCAAAAAACCAACCTCAAACACTTCTAGGTTAGCATTGCCAAATGCTGACCTTAATTCCGAGGGCTGATGAAAATATAGCTTTGCAATATCTGAATTTTTTTTTAAAGTTTTTAAAAAAAAGAATTATTTAAACTATTATTTTATTTTATGTTTAGTTAAAGAACAATCCAATAAAGGTACTCAAACTAAGTAATCTTTTTATATTATATATTTTTTTGAATTTTGTCATTATCTGAAATATTATTAAACTTTCACAATACTTAATGCAAAGTAAAAAACATGCAGACAAATTATTATTACTAGCAACTTTTGGAGTAAAAACATTCTATTGAAATTCTTCTGTAATACATGAAAAATATAATGTCAAACAATAAAGGCTTGTATCAAATAATAAGAAAAGAAATAAATTTATATCTTTAAAAACCAAAAGCAAAATTAACATCCATAATATTTGTAAATAACAGCATTTTTATATTTTTGAGTTAATTCTTGCAATTATTTATTTAAATTGCTATAGTTTTAATAAGTTTTAATAATGTCCATAAGTACAAAATGCATATAAAAAATCTTAATGACATCACAAACTACATTAAGATTATGCGCTATACATTTTTTATTCATTGCAAGGACTGTTTATTTATGTATACTATCTTACCTGTTGAGTAAGAGCTTGCATTGTACAGCTTTCATAAATACCTAGTAATCAAAGAAAATTAATAACAGTTTATATCATCATCATCATCATCATCATCATCATCATCATCATCATCATCATCATCACCATCATCATCACCATTCAAAAAAAAAATAATATACTTCTTACAATTTTACAACTTCTAGCTTTTAGAAACACTTGAACTTTAATTCTATTACTTATATTTTATTCATAAAAAATTAGTACTGAGGCATAAAATAACAATAAATTAAAAAAAAAGAAAAAAGAAAAGTTAAAAAGATCTTTTCAAGCATTAAAAAAAAATCACTAAAAACCAAACGCAACTACATAATAAAGTTTAAAAAACTCAAAACCAACCCCTCAAATGGTACTTTGCTTAGAATTTGAAGTATTACTTCCCATAATATTTTGTCATTAGGTAAAATAGTTTTAGTTAAAGCTGTAAAAAAAATAATTCAGAAAATAAAGAATATATTAAAGATTAACGAAGGGTAGTAAGATCAACATAGCAAAAGGATTAATTTTGACAAAGCCTAAACTAAAATACTTTATGCTACTGTGTAAAAAAAAGCAATAGTTTTACATGATGAATGTTACTTACTGACTTATTTATGTAATTTTAAACATTTGTCGGGTTTACAATTAACCATAATTAAGTTTCGCCTAAAATTTATGAAAAACATTATTGAAGTTGACACTCCTTAGTTTTGAATTAACGATTGATATAAAGTTGTATGCTTTTTTCCCTTTGCAAATAAAGAAGTAACAAAAAGTCATTTTTTGAATGTGTACAATCTATTTTTGTAAAGATAGGAATTAAAAACAATATTAAAAAGTTATACTTTTTTTAGTTAAAATGGTCAAATGACCATTTGATAAAAATGCAGATATTTTGAAATATATCTTTAAAATTTACTAATATAAAAAAACAAATAAATATCTTTAAAATTTACTAATATAAAAAAACAAACAATCAATTAATTAATATAAAATGTAAAAATAATTTAAGATAATTGTGGCCAATTTATTTATTTACTTGTTTAATTAGAATATATAAAACTCATTTATAAATAGGTTGTTCTTAATGCTCTTTCTAACTAGTAAAAAATTTTAATCAGCTATAAATTTTATACTTTAAAGTTAAAAAATTATTCCTAAAATTTAAAACAACTATGCATTTGTAAAACGTATTTTCTTGCATCAAAATCTATAAAAAGCTTGAAAGTTTATGTCTTTGAATTACACCAACTACCAAACGCACACAAGCACTCATACTCGATAATAATTTTATATATAGAATAAAGTTAAATGAGCTCATATGAAAAAAATCTTACTACCCTCCTTAAATCTATACATTCGAAAAGTTTTTTTTTTGAAAATATTGTAAAAATCATTACTATTTATTTAAAATTATATGTTTTCATGCTTTCTTTAGCTACATGTTTACTTATCAAGTAGAAATGTGCAAAACAGGCGATTTACAGCAACAATTTTGTAATCAAAATTAGAACTATGTTATCATAGCGTGCTTGGCGTATGCATTGTAAGATGTATTTTATCATGTTATTTGTTAAAATTTTATATGAACATAGATATTTTGTAAAAAGTAGATTAGGTAAAATTCGTTTTTATTTAGTTCTTTTTTATAGTTATGACTGCTAATATTAGATAATGCAATAAAGCAAAATATTGCTCAAATAACAACAACAATTCCATACAAAAACTACCTTAGCTGAAACTAATTTTTTTAAACTGGTTGCAGTATTATTAGGCAATCCTTGTAATCAAATTTTGTTACTTAAATGTCCATAATTTTTTGTAGAATTATCATTTTGTTAAGAAATTTTCACTATGATAAAACTAAATTTAGCCTCTTTCCAATGATATAATAATAAAATATAAAAATACTTTGAAATTTCAATAAAATTATAATATCAATCAATATATTTTTGGTATTACATTTCAAGGTTGTTTACAAATAGTATACACTACTAACATTAAGTAATCACCAAATGACAATGATTAAAATAGTAATGGTAATAATAATAAAAATAAAATTTATAAAAATAATAACTATAACAATAATAACAATAATAATAACAATAATAATAACAGTAATTATAACAATAATAACATTAATAAATATCACAGATAAATATTATACAATATTAATAAGAAATAATGATGTTAATAAAAGTGTAAATAAAATATAAGTAATATTAAAATTACATGTAATAATAATACTAATAAAAATAGCAATAATAATCTATTAATGAGTCTAACATTTTAAATACATTATTTTTCTAACAAATAGTCAAAAAGACGGTTTTTAAATTTTGAAATAGAGTTGAGTGATTGAAAACGAAGAGATAAATTATTCCAAGATTTTATGCATTGGTTTGTGATAGAATTATCACCATATTTTACCAAACAACAATTTGGGATAGCAATTTAATGGTGGAGGGAGGTTTACTTGTTTATGATTCCAGAAAAATAAACAATTTAATGGCTAAACAAGATCACACAATTTTAGCATTTTTGATAGAAAGTAAAGGATGTCAGAGTTAGAATGATATTGTTGAAAGAATATTATTTTTAAAACCTTGTTTTGTATGTTAGATAATCTTAAAAAAGCATTAGAGTTGCTTTGTCTCCAAACCTGAAAAGCATATCTAAGATGTGATCCAAAAATTGCATGGTATATATTAAGTAAAGTTTCAAAATTGACATAGTGACAAATTTTGGCTAGCATCCTATTTGATCTATACAACTTCAGTGCTAAGTTTTTAAGATGAGAGCAAAAGGATAGATTTTAGTTAATTTGGATTCCAAAATAAATATTGATGAAACTACAGGAAAGATTTTTTGGCCACTTAGTCTAAAGTTTAGGTTTATATACATTTAGATTGACTTGATTTGAAAATAATAAGTTCAGTTTTGTTGGTATTTAGACTTAATTTGTTAGAGCGCAACCATTGAAAAATATTGGATAAATTACATTAATATGTTTGTTAATTTTTTTAATGATTTGTTTGTTATGAGTAAGTTGGTGTTGTCAGCAAAATGGTAAACCATTGAAAATCTTAGAGAGATATTAAGATCATTTATAAAAATAATGAAAAACAATGGTCCTAATACAGAATTTTGGGGTACACCCATGGAGCATTTTATTGGAAAAGATTTGCCATCATTGATGGAAAAAAATTGTGATTTATTAAAAAGATATGATGAAAACCATTGGAAAGTATTACATAAAACATTGCAGTGTTCCAATTTATTTAAGAGGATAGAGTGACCAAACACTCCACATGCAAAAAGTTAATTGTCAAGAGCATTTCTAATAGTTTCAGTTATTTTAGTAAATGCATGAGTTGTAGAGTGTTTGTTCCAAAATCCATACTGATATTTGTAGAGACATTGGTTTTTGTCAAAAAAGCTATAAAATCTGTTGTACGCGACTTTTTCAAATAACTTACTAATTTTAGATAAAAGAGAAATCGAAATTTAAGAAATTCTATATTAGAATTTCTTAAATAGTCAGAGAGGATACTCTTAGAAGAAACCATTTTACTTTTGGTGAGTGTTGTATTGTTTCAAAGTAGTTGTTAAAAATGTTAGCAACAGCTATGCTATCTGAGATAGTGTTACTATTGTAAGATTGTAATGTAAGATTTAATTAGTGTAGAGGGTTTGATGTTGATAATTTCTTTTATTCCTTTCCGATTTTTTTTTTTTTTTGTTTTTTTTTTTTGTATTTTTGAGGTTTTTTTTAAAGAAGATGCAGTATGATTTTTTGGAAATTCTTAATAAGTTGCTAATTTTATCCCTGTACAATTTAAATTTAATGAATGGTTGACTTTTTGTGTTAGGATTTTTTAGTTCTATATACTTTTGTAGAGCTTATTTTTAGTTGTAATTAAATATTATATCAATAAATTATTGCATATATTAGTTTGAAAAAAAATTGTTTAGAAACTATTTTTCGATGAGTTAAAAGAAATATAAGTTTAAGAAACGAGAAGAAATATACGTTTATATAATATCAACAAAACAAAAATAAGCATAATAAAAGGCTTTTATTATGCTTATTTTTGTTATGTTTATGTTATGCCTTTTAAAAAGGCAGTTTCGTCTTCATTTATATAATAGAAGATGAAATTTAACAACCTGATATTCATTTACATAGATATTTTTTGCTTTACCTTCTGTATATATGCTCTCTGACCTGACTCAAAAGACCAGCATTTTAACTAAAGTTGCTTAACTTAAAACGAACATTTTGATGCTGATAAAGTATCTAAAGTAATTACTACACCGTTGTAATAGTTTAAAAACAGACTTTTAAAATCGGCAATTTTTATATTGCGCCGGTGTTTGGTTTTTGGTGAAGATCCGATACACATTTTTTGTCATTGTCGGTACTTATGAAACCAATATATATATTGGTTATATATAATATATAAAAAATATATTTTAGCACCTTAATAAAATAAATTTTTTAATGTATTTAAAACAAATTTTAAAAAAGATTATAAGTAGTTTATCTTGAAAATAGTACTTTTCAAAAACAATACTTTTAAACAATGTCAATGATTAGTTAGCGAAAAATGCATATACATGATTTGTTCTCAATTAATTAAAATATTAAAAAAATTGTATACTAATATACAAGACCGAGTTAAGGGTCTTGGGGGCCGGGTCCAAAAAGTTTTGGGGAACCCATCCCTAAAAAAACAGCAAAATATGAAATTACTTTTTTATTCATAAGGAAATTTTTCTTCCTTTCAAATTGACAAAATCAATTACGAAATCTTCAAAAAAAAAAATTTTTTAACAGAGTTCTATAAATTGTCATTAAGCAAAGAGAATTTAAAGACCATTTTACATTGAGGACTGGAAAACATTTTTAAATATTCCCAGTGAAAAAAATTAAATATTCCCAAAGAAAAAAATCTTGTCATACATGGGTTCCATGTAAGTTCCCTTGTGTGCCACACGGAAATTACATGGAACCCATGAGTTAAAAACGTTTTTATTCACTGGGTTGCCATTTTCTGAAATGCTCGCTCTGCACTATAATTGGTAATGGAATAGGTTAGAAAAATCCGATATGAAATGTCAGCATTTAAAAAAACTGGTTTTAACTTATTTCTACGAATTGCTTTTAATCATCCATTTCAATCATTTAATCATAGTGCTTATATATTCTTCTCATTTGCTACGAACATGGAAAACTATACAATTTCATCATGGAATGTTTCTAAGTCTGAATGATAAATTATACACAAGGATTTGGTAGCAAAAACAATGACAGGAACATTCATTGTCCAAAAACAAGTTAGATAACCAAACTTTCTCTCTGCAGACTTTTAGGCAGCCTTTTTTTTAAGCACACTTTCAACTTGTGTATGATAAGGAATAAGTGTTTAATTCTTTAACTGTCACTGCAACTTAGAAATACTTCATTTTTTGTATACTCACTAATTCCTACTTTACACATCTTCTTTCTTGTACTTTCATGCTTTTACTGCTTAGGAACAATGCTGGAGAACCTTCAAGAACATTCCTGTCAAGAAAATCTTCACAAACTGACACGTCACATGACATTGATCACGCGAAATTGAATTCACATATTCTAAATGAGATTGAGATAATTGCACACCAAGAGCTAAATCTCAACTTTAAAGTAGCATTAAATCTTAGCATGAGACTGTGTCAAAGCTCCTTCATAAAAACAACATCCAAAGTTTTCATTTTCTTTATGCGTGTAGTGACTTTGTTTTGTATCAGACTTTTTTATGTTTATCAAGACCAATTGATTCTAGGGTCTTAAGAATATAACTGTAATTTGCTTGTAGAATATGAATATTTCCTGCTGGCCATATTCTCTAACTCAGCCTTTGATGGTAATTTTCTTGCCCTTTCCTGTCCCACTTACAAAACCAAAATAAGTTACTAGTCATCTGTGAGTTAATGCTGCACGGAAATTATACAGACATTGAAGAAACCCAAAAAAACCAATTGCAGTCTCACAGCAGTCAACATTAATAATACCAAATATGTTTGAAGAATGTGTTGCACAAGGAATAAAATCAATGTTTGGGTTCTCATTTTTTAGTTGTACTTGCAGGTTATTGTATATTCAAGTCATGTTAGATGTCATATGAATTACCACAAGCGTTGTTAATATTTAAGTAAAGCTCATTTAATTTTGTAAACCTTTCCATTATGTCTACTAGAAGACTCAAAGACAATAATTCTTTTTTCAACAACAGTTTTCTTGTTCAGATATCAAATGGTTATTGCAAGTGAGTCAATATGTGTACTGTTAGGTAACAAGCCAGCAATCAATGAAAAGTATTTATTTTTAGACGCTTTGCCATCAATGTATTGCAGAATATTTTTTTTCATTAAATAGATCATTTTCTAATAAATTGTTAATGAAACACTTCTTCTGCCATGATTTCTTATTTCTTCTGAGTCATCTCTAAGAGTTAGACCTCGTCTGCACAAAAACTGCAAACATTTAATAACTTTTTCCAGAGCATCCCTTCAGTAACGCTTTCATCATCCAACTGCTGTTACTAAGACATGTACCGGGCAGTAACGCTTTCACCATCCAACTGCTGTTATATAGGACATGGATATTAGTTCAACTATTCCATTTCGATATTGAATGTTAAATATATTTTGAAAGTAAGTATATTATCATTTTTAAATTTCACTTAATTAAATTTATGAAGTCGTGTAAGCGAGAACACACGCACTTTGCGTTTTACACTCGATATCATCATTTGCACGGTTTTCGGCTGGACTTTCATTGAAGCTCTAATTTTTTTTTTTTTTTTTTGAAGTCTTGGAAGTTTTTAGCGTCTTTTACATTGTACCTTAGTTTTCCTTTGAAAAAAGTCCATATTTTTTTGATAGGACGCAGTTTGGGACATTTTGGTGGATTGCAGTGTTTTTCAACGAAATCTACTTTATGTTCTCTTAACCAATTTAAAGTTTTCTCAGGGTAGTGACATGGTGTTAAATCTGGCCAAAATAACTGAATACTCGTTTGAGATCTTAAAAGCAGCAAAAGACGCTTCTTGAGGCATTCTTTGATGTATATTTCATTCCCGTAGTCACAAAACAAGAGGTTCTTTCTTCACATTCACAAATTGCTTGCCAAACTAAGAGTTGTTTAGCAAATTTTTCCATTTCAATGCATTTATATTTAGAATTTAGTATTAATAAGCATTAAAATTTCCTTTTGTTGTGACTTTTCTAAAACAGCACTGGACTGTATCGGTGAGCTATTTGCTTTGTTCATGCCTCTGTATAGAATGTTGTCAATGTGACCTGTCATCGAAAGAAGCCGAAGAAACAAAATATTTTTCCAGTGGGTGCTGAATAAATAAACAAGTCTCTCTTTCAAATTTCACCATTTTTCAACATGAAAGAAAAACAGTTCAGAAAGTTGATAAATATGTTTTTAAATATGCTTTAAATATGTCATAAATATGCTTTTATCATTTTTTTGCATTTTTCAAAATCTTTATTTGCAACATTTTGATCCGGAATTTCTTCATAAAAATCCAGTGGCGATTTTTCAAATCCTTTCACAACCCTGGGTCAAATTGATAAAAATTATTTATATACGTGTATTACATTAAAAAGTTAAAAATAAAAACATACATTAATGAAAATAAACCGGAAACCATAAAGCCAACTACAAAAAAAATTATCTACACAATCTGTTACTTCTGAAACATAAAGCTAACTACAAAAACGGATTAAAATGCGAACCTTCTTTTTACGCTCAGTCATATTATTTGACGTATTAAAAAGCTGGACATTTTATACATTTTCAAGCCCTTGCAGAGTAATATAGAGGATCCAACAAACTCACAACTGCAGTGGCATATATATAAAAATAACTGGGGGCTTATACTAGAACTCTATTTTTGCAGCTGCGCTCCTGCGTCCAAATTAATCCGGTATTGCTAATATACACTAAATTTTTATTATTAATATTAGGTTAAATTAAATTTACTTAACTTAAAAAAAAGTTTTGAGTTATCATATTTTTTTATTATAAATAATATATACTTATTCTTACATAAAATAAGTGTATCATTTTTTATTTAACAATAATTATTCTTATTAATTAATATATTTTTAAATTCGTAGGAAAAATAAGTGTTTAATGAGAATGGCGCCTTCGAAGCCTTGGTGCCCGGGTGAAAATCACCCATTGTACCTACCTTCCTTCAGGCCTATATACATTTTGGGGCCAGGAATTTCATTTTTGTGCTCCATTTTAATTTTGGAGTGGTCATGCTAATTTTAGAGGTTTTCAATGGTGGTCATGGGGTTTCTTGATGTTTTTTAAATTAAGCAGGACATGTTGTATATCTAAATATAGGTAACTGCTGTCATGGAATTTAAATCTGGGCATATGCGGTCTTTAGAAGTGGTAATGAAACTCAAAATGGACATTTTAGTAGTGGTCAAGGGTGAGATATCCCAACGTTTTTCAATTAGATGGGACTAGGGTTGAAAATTTCCAGAAATTTAAAAAAATTTTGTAGCAGTAAAACAAATAATTAAAAAAAATTTTATAGCAATAAAATAAATAGTTATTATATAGCTTTAAAAAGTTCTTTGTTTCAAAAATATACATTTTATTATTGTAGTATTTTTTGAATATTTCAACAAAAAATTATTATATTTTTTAGTCAAATTTTTATAGTCAATTTAAGAATCAAAATTTAATTTAGTTCCAATTTAATAAATATTGACAAATACGGCAATGAACATCAATATGCTTAGCAAATAACAGAATAAAGCAATTATAGAAAATTTTGAAAACAAATTATTGTTGTTGCTACTTATAGTTATAATAAAAAAAACTTTAAATACCAAAAAAAAATCTTAGAGAAGAAGGAGTCTTTGACTTTTCCCAGAATATATACAGAATAAGAAGATATACAGAATAAGAAGAATTTTTCGAATTTTTCGTCTTGTGGAAAACGGCCTTAACGTAGCATCATTTTCATCATAAGATCATAGTTTGTTTGAGGCCTGAAGAATTTCATTGTGTGCTCTCTGTTGTTTTAGTCTAAAACATTTATATTAGGATGTATGAAATGAATATTTTTCACAATTAAATTACTGTTTTTCCATTTTATGGGCGTTATTTAAATGAGCAAAACATATTTGAGACATTTAAAATACAAATTTGTAGATGAAAACGACATTTTAGAAAAGTTATTTAGACAACATTAAAGCTGAAAGTACTAGATAATGTAGTTTTCTCGCTTTCAACACAATGAG